CTGTCTCAGGACTAGGGGCCGGGGGAGGCTCCACTTCCTATGATTCATGCTGCACCTGCTGGTTCTCCCTCAGATAAATATGCACATTTTATAAACAGAAAAGGTGAAGCTGTGAGGGTTGGCCTTTCCCCGGGAATTATGGCACCAAAATGGTGGGATAGTCCAGGCAACTTCAGGGGTGGGGTTCTAAATATTTCTCGGGGACATCTGCCTGAGATAAAAGACTGGCCTCAACAGGAAGGGCCTCTCTGGGGGTCAGCAGCCAGGGGGCCTGGCTTAGGCCCGAAGGGGTAAACCTGCGCCTCCGACTAGGTTCCTGGGCCTGCCCCATTCTGCACCTTCTGAACCTCCTGAAGCTTATGTAGAGGGTGTGCGGGGTGGGAACGCGGTGGATAGTGGTTTGCTCCTGCACTGGGGATTGGGGGAGGGTGGTCCGAAGTAAGCCAGTGAGAAATGGCATGAGCCTGCCTTGGCTCCGGCCAGAGCCAGAGCCCCACGGACAAGGTTTTGAAGGCAGAGATGAAATAATTTTTTTAAAATTTATTTTTAAAATAATAACAAGTGGGAAAGAGACAGGAATCCTATTTTCCTTCATAAATGGTCCGAGGGCTTCTCTCCCGATATAAGATATTTAATACAGAGGGTTAACTGCAAGGTGAGGACAGCGCGATTTCCCTTGGGGAGGGAACAGGAGTAGGGGGCACCCCAGGCCCCGGGGAAGGAGGCAGAGCCCGAGGCCCCGACTTCACTCCTTTGGCTCTTTCTTAGGAGCATCAGCACTTGCCTTTCCAGCATCTTGCAGCTGGCTCTCGCCACTCTCTCCTTGTTTCATTTGCTAAATCTCTGTTTTAGTTCACTGTTTCACACCCACACTGACAATGTGCCACCCCTCCCTCCCCGCCAAGGCCCTGGGACATCTGCCAGGCAGTGAAATCAAATGCGAAGTTAAATACGACTCCACATTGTATCCTGTTTCCCTCCTCCCTTCTTCCTTCCCAAGAACGCAGAGCACCCAGGCAGTGGCAGGCCGGGCGGAGTGAGCCGCTCCAAAAATATTTATTCTGGAAATGTTACTTGAAAGTAGGAAGTCTGGTAAAATGAACAGGATACTATGTACTTATCATCCAGCTTTAATGATTATCAACATTTTGTTGATCTCGTTTATCGAATCTCTTATATGTATTTTTAATAACATATATGTATTTTTTTCTTGAAGTAATGTAAAACAAATCCCAGACGGCATCGCGTTTCACCCTAAACTACTTCAGTTTGAATCTCTAATGATTAAGAAAGCATTTAAAAATAATCACAACGCCATCATCACAGCTAATACAATGAACAATAATTCCTTATTATAATCTAAAACAGAATCCATATTCGAATTTCCATCATTGTCTCAAAGTTGTCTTTTTAGTTGGTTTGGACCTATATCTTTGATCTCAAAAAGTAGAGGTTTACTGAGCAATGAAGAGTGAACAGAATTCTCATAAGAAGTTGAACCTTTAATGGTTAGTATTGTTTCCAGGCTTTCTGCAGAATTTGCTTACGAGCAGAGGCTCACAGCCCAGGCGGGGAGGGTGTGTTGGAGAAACCTTGACGGAAATGGTGGCTCGTGAGCACGTGCACAGGAGCGAAGGGGGCTGTGGGAGGTCAGTGGAAGGAAGATCTGCTAACATCAGTTCCCAGGACTGTAAAAAGACATTTTTATGAAGAAAATATTCAATAATTGGGACTCCTTTAATTGAGCCTGATCTTCCCTCCAATCAATTACCATAAGGTGACACCATAGCATAGATGGAATGTTTGTGTTTCCCCCAAAATCCTGACATCCAGTGTGATGGCGTTAGGAGATGGGGCCTTTGGGAGGTGATCAGGTTATGAGGGTGGAGCCCTCGTAAGTGGGATCAGCGCCCTTATGAAAGAGACCCCACAGAGCTCCCTGGCCCCTTCCCCTGTGTGAGGACACCGTGAAAGACGTGGTCTATGAACCAGGAAGTGTGTCCTCAGCGGACATAGAATCTGCTGGCATCTTGATTTTGCATTTCCAACTTCCAGAACTCTGAGAAATAAATTTCTGTTGTTTATAAGCTACTCAGACTATTGTATTTAGATTTTTGGTTCAAACACACTAAGACAGGCGCTGTTTAACTTTATATTTCTCTTATTTTCATTCACCTCTTCCTCTACCCCTCCTTCACTTTCCTTTCCCTTTCTTTCCTTCCTCCCTTCCTCCCTCCCTTCCTTCCTTCCTTCCTTCCTTCCTTCCTTCCTTCCTTCCTTCCTTCCTTCCTTCCATTGATCTTGTAATTTTCCTATTTTAGTAGATTCTCTTCCTGTTCTTGCTCTCTTTCCCATGTCAAGCCTTCCTGAAGTGGATCCCCTTCTTCCTGAGGACCCCTCTCTTCTTTCCTCTCTTACGCCCCATTCCTTAGGACAGCCCAGCGGTTCTCTGAGTCTTGGTGCGTGGTTCTTGGACCTCTCTGGAACCTGGCTTTACAGTTCTCCCAGCATCCGAATCCATCTCCATTTGCTTTACAGTTGTCTTATTTTGAGTTCCTCTGACAGTAGCGCCCAAGATGAGGGTTCTAGTGCAGAAGGTGTATTTGGGAGGTGACCACAGGAAGCAGGAGTGAGGGGTGGGAGAGCGAGACAGGCAGGAGGAAGAGCCAGGTGAGGCCGCCTCATTGATGTGGGGACTGGTGTGGGCACCTGGGGCTCAATCCAGGTAGAATATGCCTCAGGATTGCCCCTGTGGGGGGTCAGAGGCTGGGGCATTTACTCACAGAGCCTCATTTCCTGCTGGTTTAGATTTGCTCCTCTGGGGCCTTCGCTCCCTCCTTATTTCAGGCTGCCCCACGCAGGCCGGCCGAGAGGGCATCAAAGTGGAGAGATGAGGGGAGCACTGCGGAAGGGAACTGCACAGCCGCAGCTCCCCCCGAGGTGGCCGGGGCATCAAAGTGTCTGCTGCAGCAATTTTCATTTCTTTTGCTTCCCAACTTAAGTGCTTTTTTATTGAGTGCTTTTCGTATATCAGTCCCTGGGCCAGTAGCTTCCCAAACGTTTTATCATCTAATCTTCTACAGGCCTGTGAAGAAGGTGCTATTGTTCCTCAGGTGACCAGATGACAAACTGAGGCTCAGAGAGGTAACTGGCCTGAGTGTTAAGCATCCTCTGGGCTGGGAGCTGCCTGAGGTGAGGGCTGGGCATGGGGCTCCTTCTTTACATCCTTGATTCTACCGTACTCAGGACAGAGATGGTGAGTTCCCAGGGCAAGGACCCCCTGGAGCTGAGGATGATGGTGTACCAGTGAACTTAACCTAGATTTGTGTGGTCAGACATCTTTAGACTCAGATCCTGATGTTGAAAGCCTGGAATAAATTGCTTTCCTTTTGGAAAAATGGGATGTAATTATTTTTTTGGTTGTATGCTGTTGTGCAGCAAGCTTCTCGGGTAGAGTCTTCTGAAAGGTCCTGCTGGGTTGACCTGATGCTTTCTCATTAGACTCTGCAAAAGTCCTGACCTTGGAGGTTGAACATGGCCAGATGCTTCCCCCAGACTCTGTCGGCTGTTTGGCATATGGGAGCTGCTGCCTCAGGGGATTGCAAGAGAATGCTTGAGGGTGGAAAAGGATCTGGAAGGACAATTTGAAGAACAGGCCCTTCCATGCTGACCCTGGGAGTCCCCTCACAGAGGAGGGAATGACTTCTCGGGATCTTTACTGGTGGCTGGCCTTCCAAGCTACTTGGGGGTGGGTGGCTTCTCCGGCTGTGACTGCTCATAAACAAGACAGCTCTGACAGTCCCAGGCGGCCACCAAAGGGGCAAACACATCATCCTTAAACTCCTGTTACCTACCTCAGGCAGGCAGGGACTGGGGTGGATCATGGCATCAGCATCTTCCAGGGTCCTGGGGACGAGTGCAGAGGAAAGTGTTTAAGAGATGAATCATGGCCTGGACCTCTCAGCGACATGGGCCAAAAATTTCTCTTTTTAAATTTAAGTTAGTTTGCCTTGGGCTTCTGTCACTGGAAACTAAAGGAGTCTTGACAGGTACAGAGGTCAGCCACTTCGCCGAGCTGCTAAGTGAACCACGTAGGTTGCCCAGCCACCTGCGACTTCCCCCTTTCTTGGTCCCCGCTTGTTCCTCCCCGACCTGAGCTAGTGCGTCTGTCATCTACCTGAAGGCGAGTCTGCGCCCACGTGCTATTGGGCCTGGTTCGCTGACATTTGATGCCTGTTGCTAACTGTGAGATGAAGAAGGAGGTTCACTTATATCTCCTGTGAATCAGACACTGTGCTGGGTATTATCTCATTTAATCTCCAGAGTAATCAGCAAGATACTTTGGGGGAAGGGCTCTTTGAAATCACTCATGGAAGTGACTTCCTGTGATGCCCTCTCTGCACCCCCACCCTCGCCCTCCCCACACAAAGCCCATCATCGATGGGGTTGGAAACGGCACCCCAGGAGCATGTCTGGCCTTGGCTGACCCCAAAGAGCCGGGAACAGCATGTTATACTTCAAATACATGCAGAATAAAAAGGGTAATAAATAAATAGGTGCTTCTGGCTTGTGTCGCTTGGTGTGTGTGGATGTAGCCTCCAAGATGCTCCCCAGAATTCTCAGATGGAACCTTGATCTGATGGTTCAGGGGCTCTGCGGCCCACCTCCTGGAATCACCCCAGGTCACGCTGCAGCATGCAGTGAGAGGGGAGATGGAACAGGGAGGAAGGCCTGTGAGCATCCCAGATTCAGCCCTCCCGCTGCCGCTGGATGGGCCCCCTTCCCGGTGAGCACGGAATCACGTATTTCTATCTTTGGTTTCGCGTCTTGGAGTCTTATGCCTTCGGAAGGGTGGCTTGGAAGAGTGAGAGTAAGACGGACCGAAGGCCTGGATAAAGGATGTCCGTATAGGCTCTCTTCTGGCAACACCTAGAAGCCCAGGTTTCCTCCCTCAGCTTTGGGAAGAGAGGCCATCAAGACTTCAGCACCCAGGGCTGAAGTCCAGCTGCTGTAGCATGTCCTGCAGAAACCCCTGCAGCCTGCTCAGGGCCACCACCTCTGTGGAGTAGAACGAGGTTTCTAGGACATCACCCAGGCCCTTCAAGGTCTTCGGGCTGCTGGCCCGGGGGAAGGGACAGCTTCTGAAGGAGGCCAGCAGATGGAGAAGGTCCCGGAGGTTCTCTAGGTCGTTAGATATTTGGATCACGTTTCTGGAAGACAGAGTGGTGAGGATCTGTTGGTAGATTGCTAATGTCTGGTCCATCTTGGACAAAGTCAGAGCAGTGTGGAGCCGAGGAATGAAGTCCAAACCAGTGACCTTCTGTTTAGAGGAGACCGACTGCTGTGGAGGAGGAAGAGAGAGAGCAGGAGCTCAGTCGGGCGGGAGAGGAGTCGGTTCTCTAAAGCCCTCAGCCTTTCCACGGGATGCGGAGGTTCGTTCCCTTAGTTGAGTCCTCCCGCCCTTCTGCCCCGTACTGGCGTAGGCCCTTATTTGTTGCACCTAGGCGGCTGCCAAGCCATGAACCTGGTCTCCTGGACTTCTCTCCTCCTGCCCTTCCCGAACCACCCTGTCCTCCAGGTCTAGACCAAACTTTACAGGTAGTTCTCTTCTCAAAATGGCCTCTGCTGTGGAACCAGACACGACTCCCTATTTTTTTTTTAGTTCGTTAAGGCTCTTCTCCTGGCACTGAGATCCTCCAGACGTGCCCCTTTCCCAGACGTCCTCATTCCCTTCCACTGTCAGCAGACTTCCCACTCTCAGCCAGGCCCTCCATGGAGTCTCAGCCCCTTCAGGGATCAAGGCCATCCCCAGCGAATGTCCCACCTCACTCCTCTGCCCTAATAACTCTGCTTACCAGGAGGGGTTCCCTTTCCCAACTGCTCGCGCCAGTCACTCCCTGAACCGCATAAGAGGGACACTCTGTAGCTATCACAGGCAGCCTTGCTAAACGACTATTTTGAAAGCAAGGAGACTTAAGGGTTTCTCTTGATGAAATGGCCAAGACTCTGTCTAGTTCTGAGCTGTCCCTGCTTCTGACCTCCCTGCCCAAGGCCACTGTCAGACACCCGCAGTGGCTAGGAGACATAGAAGTCTCCAGACTGATCCATGCAGGGTGAAAAAACGGGCTTTTAAGGCCAGAGGCTACCAAAAACCACAGCTGCAAACTTTTAATGAGTGCACACTTGGTTCTGGTTCTGCAGGGGGGCGGGGTGTCACTTGCTTTCTGTAATTTAATCTCATTATGACCTTGTGAATGCTAGATGATAGTCTTGTTATCTAGATGATGAAAGCAAGACACTGAGGAACTAGCTTAAGATTTTGTAGATAGAGAACAGAAGTGTGAAGATTCACACTTAGTCTTTCTAATTCCAAAGCAAGCCTCACCTGGGAGATGGCTGAAGGTCTAGGTCTGTGGACCCCAGAGCAATGCCCAGTGGGCACTGATGGCTGTTTGCAAATATGTAGAGGGTCGTATGTAAAAGAGGGTAGACTTGCTTGTCTGTGTGGCCCTGGCAGGGAGGACCAGCAGCAATGGGGAGATGCTTCACAGTATCAGAGCTCAGCTATAAATAAATAGGAAGAACGCCCACTGATGAGCACATTCTAGAGATAGATGAAGGCCCAAAGGGGATCCAGTCAACTGCGAAGGGGACACAAGGACCATTATGGCTCCCTCTGGTCGAGATGAAGGCCCAAAGGGGATGCTGCTGGGGATCCAGTCACCTGCCAAGGGGACACAAGGACCATTATGGCTCCCTCTGGTCCTAGGCACTAGGATTCCAGTCAAGGAGGAAGGAGAGTAAGGAGGTGAGAGATGGAAGGAAGGAGAAGAAAAAAGCAGATGTTTGTGCAGTAGGGGAGTCAGGGCCACCTCCATGCCACTGCACCGGCCTCGGCTAACCTCTTTAGTCCCAGTTCCCCATGGGCTGGCCACAGTTCTAGTTTGTCTCCCCAGACCCTCTGTACCGTGTGTGAAATATCATTGATCCTGGTGACAATCGTCTTGATGAGAATTTTGGTGTCATCCTGGACTTTTCGGATGGGCATAGCTTCAATGTAGAAGAGAAAGGGCCAAAGCCACAGGAATCGGCACAGGAGTCCACAATGCATTTTTCTTCCCAGATGTTCTTCTTGGGCCTGAGAACAAAAGGAACCACACATAGCAAGTTGCTGGTATCTCAGAAAACACCACACGCCCTGTTACCAAACACATTATCGGACGTGGATAAAAATGAGCTCTGCTTCCTGCCCTGGCTCTCATTTACTCAGAGTCAAAGACAATTCATTATCTGGAAACATTAATAAAATGCATTCCCCTCGAGAGGCCAGGCCTGGACAATAAAACCACGAGGAGGTTTCCTGTAGACCAGAGAGGAGTAAGCCAGGGTATGGGTGAATGGAAATTGCAGTGACAATGTGACTTCTTTGTGTGCTTCAAGGAAGAAAAGGGGGCTTTTACAGTTTAAACCCGGCCATTTACTAGCTTTAAGACTTCAGGCAAATTACATAACTGCTAAAAACTCTACTTTTTATCCCCTGCAATATACCTCTCTCCAGACTTCTATAAGGATCAAATTAGATAATGCATGTGGAAGAGCTCTAAAGGTATTCTGAAATGTACCCCATTATTAGAGATTATATTACTTGTCCTCCCATTACTCTTACAGTAGCCTGCTGCTATCTCTAATGGCATTTATCATTGGCTTTATTACTTCCTTTCTCTCCCACTGGGAGCCTGAATCCAACTAGCACTTATGGAAGGTCTGACAATATGTCACAGGCAGTTTTAGGCACCAAGGATACAATAGTTAACAACAGGTATTCTTTACTGTCAAGTTGCTTACAGTTCGATAGGAGAGACAAATAAGTAAACAGGTCATTCCGATTCAGGAAGAAAGAGCTTAGCAAGAAAGACAAGTAAAAGATATCATGGGAATCAAAGGGGGCTACCTGGAGGAGGTGTCAACCTGAGATGAGTATTAAAGACGGAGTAGGGGTTAGTAAGAGTAGAAAGTGGTTGTTATAATCACCAAGAAAGTGGCAGGTGCAAGGTCACAAAGGCAGGAGAGAATATATTACATATCTCCCCAGAACGTTTGAAACTTTCAACATCACAGAATCATGAATTTTAAAATTAACAATATGTAGATCCTTGATTAAGCTGCGACGTTTTAATGAGATACATGAGGCAAAAATTAATAAAGTTAAATGTTTTTGTTAACTGTGGCCAATGATCCATGCTAAGCATATGTGGATGAGCCTGAAATAATAATTAAATGTAAATAAATTTTACATGAAGTTTCTTGGGATAGCAAAAATTAATCTCCACTTATAGTGTTCTGCCTCATCTGGATCCTATTAAAGACAGACAATACATTTTCTGTACATAGGTGGCATTATTAGTACAATTCATATCCTGGCAATGTAATAGAAATTAGCAGTCTGTTTATACACTATAATGCTTGATCAAAGGTATATTTTTTATCTGAATTTTATAGAAGGGGAAAAAAATGAAGCTCAGGGAGATGCATTTACTTGCCCAAAGCCAAATAGGTAAGTGACAGAGCTGGGACTCACACGCAGGGCTGCTTCCTCTAGAAAGACTGGGGTCCTTTCTACCTCCCTCCCCAAAGGCTAGAGAACTAGCCTTTAAGGAAAAGTTCAAATTAGAAACCGCCCCAATGCCCAGCTAAGGGCAGCTCCTGGGACCTTGGCACTTGGGAACAGATAGCCTGCTCTAGGACTTCAAATATGAAAAATACTGAGTAATTCGGGAGGGGGTACTTGAGATGTTTTTGTGCTGGTTTTCTCTATTAAAAAGTTAAAACTCCCTCTATTAATTACTTATTACCTGAGTAAACGTTTCCACCAAACCTTTGTGGAACAGAGTTAAATAGTGCCGATCCCCCAGAGTGATTCCATGAAACCCTTGCAAAGGTGGACAGCACAGTGGTCAGGCCCCGGAGCTTCAGCTGTGGATTCTGCCCTTGTTAGCTGTGTGTCTCTGGGCAAGATGCTTAACCTCCCGAAAGCATCCATTCCCATCTATAAAATGGAACTAACTCCACCTGGCTGAAAGGGTAAGTGAGATGAACCTGGAAAGCCCGTGTGTGTGTGTGTGTGTGTGTGTGTGTGTGTGTGTCTGTCTGTGTGTGTGTGTGTGTCTGTCTGTCTGTCTGTCTGTGTCTGTGTCTGTGTGTCTGTGTGTCTGTGTTATAAGGTGAGGCGGGTAAATGCCAGCTTTTTTTGAATTGTGTAACTACTGGGCAGGGCTTGAAATGCTCAGGCAACACTATCTATAGCCAACCCTGAATCAAGCACTTGGCCTGCTGCCTCCCCTGGGCCATCTCAGCAGGGGGCCTGGTATTTCTGGGTCTTCCGCCTGTAGCACAAGATTGAGTCCTATCCTATCACCTAGGATTTAGGTAATAATGACACCCTCCTTCCCAAGAGAATTTATTACCAGATTAACTCTGGTCATAGTCGCTCTCACATAATGGCCACCCTATAATACCTGAATAGGAAAACAGTTTTATAAGCCCCTTCTATCACCACTGGTAATATGCTTCAGCGGATGCTGAAAATAAATGACAGTTCCTTGAAACGTGGAATTAAGAAGCTGCTGCTAAGTCTACCTCAGAGGAGAAGCCTGGTTTAGGGGAGCTTCATAAGAGCTGTAGAAAGAATTGATACCAGGTCCATTTGAGATGAAAATGATGGAGAGAACCTTGTTCACCAACACGCAACACATAACACAAATGCTCACACACATCACGTGCACATACACATATCGACGTATCAATACACTTAACCTCTGTATAGTACAGAGGCTGCTATTGTTTCCAATATTTATTCTTCTCTTCTTCCCAAGTAATAGAACATCCAAGTTTAGCTGGGGATGTGGCCATCCAGAATAAATACTACACTTCCCAGTGTCTCCTAATTAGGTATAGCCATGGGACTGAATTCTGGCCAATTAAATACAAGCAGAAGTAACAAGTGGCAGGTCCTGTGTCATGTGCCTTGCCCCTTCCTTTTTCATCTCTTCCTCCATCCCGATGCCCAAACTGTGGATGTGGCAGCTGGCGTTCTGGCGCTATCTAGGATCATGAGGACGCTGAGCTCACCTTATGAATGGCAAGTAGGGAGCTGAAGGAGTCTGGGTCCCTGAGGACTTCATGGAGCCAAGATGCCATACTGGCCTTGGACTGCTGTAGAGACATAACCCCTGTCTCAGTTAAGCCACAGTTATTTTGGTTTCCCTGGTAAATGTGGCTAAACTTAACGCTAAGTAATTTATAAACCCGGACATGGGCATCAGAAAAGAGTGGATAGCTGTTCACCTGAGGATCAGTACTTGGGTGGGGCCTGACCATGGCCCAAGAAAGGGGAATGGCTGGGAAGAGCAGGGTTTAGGGCATGGGGAAGGGAGGGATAATTCAAGACAGCAGCTACAACTTCATTGAGCGCAGTGCCTGACACATAGTAGTTACTCATTATACACTTGATGGTTGACAGCTAACGCTTATTGATCACCCGCCGTGGGTGGGGAGCAGAGATGGCAGAGACTTGGAAGCACAGGAAAGTAGGAATCGGGAGTGGGGAGGCATGTATTCCCAGGCCGTATTCCACAGTACGTGATGTTGTCGACTACTTACATGTATCATCCGTTAAAAATAACAGTAAAGAACAAAACTGTGCTCTTAAACAACTGGTTGAAGAATCTGCATAATTAATTACAATGCAAGGAAGAACGTTTTAAAAGATAAAATGCCTTGGTTAACTCGGGAGGGAGTCATCGTGTTTAAAATGAGGAGCTCTCCAGTTTGGGCAGAACTATGTCTGAGTTGGAGTACAGGACCTTGGGAAGAAAGTTCACTGACCTCTCTGAGACTCAGTTTTCTTAGCTATAAAATGGGGATGATATGAATCCTATTTCCCACCTGTGGCTGTGACGTGGATGAAATGAGATCATGCACATGGCCAAACCCAGTACAGGCTAGCTGTTATCACCATTATTTCCAGCTAAGGAATCGAGGAGGTGTCTGGGAGGAGGTGGCCTTCCATACGCACCCTGAGAGGGGAGGGTTGGGGTTTCTGAAGGTGGAGGAGAGGGGCAGCCCCAGCAGTGGGCTCTGAAGATGGCGCCTGGCAGCTGGCATGGGAGACGTGATGGGTGAGGAGGTGGGGAGGGGGTGGGCGTGAGTGCCCGCGGGCAGGCTTCTTTCTGTGGACGCGAAAGCTCTGACCACTCCCAGGCTGATGCTTTCAGCCACGTGACAAGTAAGATGGAGATGGAAATTGGGCAAGGCACGGAGAGAGGTCTGGGGATGAGGAAAGATGGTTGGGAACAGGAGTCTCAGTTCAAGAAAGGAGGACGGTGAACACACACGGGACTCAGAGGAGAGAACCGGGGAGGCAGCGGGAGGGGGAAAGGCAGCTGTCAGCCCTGCCCGGGCCGCAAAGCCTTTTCTCGAACATTTAGGAGAAATGTTGATGCAACATCCTGTCTCTTCCATTTTCCTCTGATCATTGGTCAAGCAGATCCCGGAGAGGGAGAGGGAATGGGGTACGGGGTGGAGGGGTGGAGGAGGGCAGGAGGCTAAGGAACAGTCACCTCTGGGCGCTGCCCTCCACTCTGAGGTCGCCCCACCCCCACCCTGCCCCCCCACCTTCCTCTCCCGTCCTTTAAGATCCTGCCACTCCCCGGCCTCTCTACCGTCCCCCCTGCCAGGGTGTGCACTAAAGAAGAAAAGAGGAAAAACAGAAAATGGAGCTCCCAGAGCAGCACTGGGGAATGAAATGTCATCGCAGAAAACAGGCTCCAGGCTAGCGGAGAGGCTCACATAGTCAGCCCTGCCACAGCTGCCCGCTCTCTGGCTTCGCTGGGTGCTGGGGGCTGGCCCCACCTGTCAGCCTTAGCTGACTCTGCATCCCCACTTGGCAGTTTCGTGCAGGCCCCCTCCCCACCTCTGCCTCTGCCTCTCCACAGACAAGCCGCCTCCGCCAAGAGGCTGGTGGCCTCCAGACGCAGCTCCCTCACCTTCCCTCCCATCCTAGGGGATGAGGCAGACCAAGTGGGAGCCTCTGTGTCAAGGTAGGGAGTGGCTTCTCTAAAGGGTCTGCGTCAGGTCTGCCC